TTTCCTGTTTCCGAAGATCAAGTCTGCCTTAAAAGGAACCCGGTTCGAGTCGATGGAAAAGGTGAAGCGAAAATCGGCGGAGCTCCTAAATGCTCTTACAAAAGAAGACTTCCAGCATTGCTTTGACCAATGGAAAAAACGAATGGAACGGTGTGTGGCGAGGGGAGGGGAGTACATTGAAGGGGAGCATTCAATTGTAGAATAATTTTTAAAATAAAACTCTTTTTCATAATCAGTTATTTAATAGCCAGACCTCGTATATCATACTTGTAGTCATTTAAACTGCACGTCGAAATTTTATCGGACTTAAAAACGCAGCTAAACTACCGAAATAAATATCACAATTGAATTTTAATGCTCAATATGCATCTATTAAGCTCTTAATATGCTGGAAATTAATAAATAAATCTATTTATTATGAAAAATATTATCTCGGCTAGGAGTTATACCCGGATTTTTAACATTCCGTGTGAGATTCTAAATTTTTAGACTACTAAGGTTTCTATAGTGAAGATAAAAAAATAAATAATGATACTACGTATTAAAAACTATGTTAATACTTATTTGGATAATTTAATATTTAAAATTAACGCTTAAACAAATTTTTGTTTAAAAAAATTTTTAATTTTTCGCCAAGGTCAGACGGATTAGTAGAACTTTTTAAACCCTACACCTTTTTTCTGAAACAATTTTTTTGAAAATGTGTACTTTTCAAGATATTTAAATTTATAGAGTCCGGAACTTTTTGTACACCCTGTATATATTAAAATTAGTATAATATGTTAATATTGTATCAGTCTAGTTAGTTTAATATACCTATATTCATTAAATATTTATAAATACGTTTCTTTTATGTGTTATCGATTAAAAAATTTATTTTTTTTATACAAAATTCTAATAAAACCCAATAAAACCCAAAGAAACCCATAAATTTCGGGTTTTTTTAAGTGGGTAAAACCCAAAAAAACCGCCTGGATTTTTGGGGTGGGTAAAATAATACCAACTCTGCCTGTTTACTAACGCTATATTATATTTTGGTTACATATTTTTAGGTTTTGGCAGCTTGTGGCTTTAGCCGCCTCTGGCTTTGGCCACCTGCGTGCTAAAACGCATCACACGCTCATTAGGCACGGGCCTGACACACATAATTAATGTCGGAGCATATAACAATCAAATATCAATTTAATAGCAAGATACTACGAAATGTTTCAAAATAAATTTATATTCGTTTGTATGGTAAACATTTTTATAATAATATCAATAAATAAACTATTTTTAATATGAAAAAAATTAAATATGTTGATGAAGTAAGGCAGAAACATGTCAAATATTTATTTAATTCTAATAATACATAAATATTAAATAACCGGCATACATATTTCTTAATAATTATTGTAGTAAAATGTTAAAAAAAAGAAGAAAATGTAAAAATTGCATCATTGTGTGCATATGGGTATATTTATAGAGTTAAAATTTATAGAGTATAAATCAATGTCATTCTTACTGATAATTAAAATAAGTTTTAAGCAAGAAATTATTTAATATATAATTAATTATAAGCAAAAAATAAATAAATACTTTATTATTTACTTTTAAAGTTTTACTATAATAATTATTGAGAAATATGCATGCCGGTTATTTGATATTTATGTATTAGGGTTAAATAAATATTTGACATGTTGCAGCCTTACTTTATCAATATATTTAATTTTTCTAATTATTTTATGTTAAAAATAATTTATCTATTGATATTATTACAAAAATTTTTATCGAACGAAATTTACGAACGAACACAGTGATGAATTTATTTTGAGAAATACGTCGTAGTATTTCGCTATTAAATTAATATTT